CAATTTTCTTTTTCTTTTTTAGTTCTTGACTAGTGCTCTTTTAAATTTCTTGGGTGCTTAGTCTCTCATTTCCATACTTATCCATACCTTCTCCCTAGACCTAATACAACCTTGAATAAAAAGTTTTGTTGATTTGTGCATGCATATGTTATGAATAGTGGAGAAGTATAAGTCGAGCAAGAACACTTTTTTGAAAGGGATTTGAGTGATACATTGATTTACCCTATACACTTGAGAGATTGATTGAGAGCATATTGTGAGCATCTTGCGTGACTAACATTATTAAATGAGACTACCATGCTTTGTAATTTGAGATGAAGGGATTTCTATCTTGATTGGTTGATCTTTTGAAGCTTTGTGATCCTTGGTCAGTTTTTGTATTCTTGGCAATTGTTAGAAAGTATTGGTTTATCTTTTAGTCTTTGCTTTTATTTTGTCATTTCCTTTGTTTTATTTCAAGTTTTAATTTTGCTTATGAATGTAAAAAGATAAGTGTGGGGATTTGATAATTGATATTTATTACATTTATTTGTTACTCTTCATGGATAATTTAGGATTGTTTAGCGTGTAAATAATCATATTTTGGGCTGAATTTGATATTGGTTTTTTTTTTTTTTTTTTGTAAATTTGATATTGGGTTTTTAATAGAGATTATTCATTTTTGGCATTAAAATTCCAGATTTACATTGTTGTAGTACTTTAAGTGTAACTTTTGTTCTAGGTATCCGATTAATCCTATTCTACGATATACGGACACGGGACACGACACGACATGCCGACACGTTAATTTTAAAAAATGTCATATTTTGACACGTTGGGACACGTTTTGATATTAAATAAAATTTTTAATATATATAATATAATTTATATTTAATACATATAAGAGTCCATTATAAGCCATATAACCAATTAAATATTTAAATTTCATAACATAAATATAAACATAAATAATTTTTTCTACTTTGTTAACTTTTTATGTCAAATTTCATAACAGAAAAAAATTAATTTATAAATTATTTCTTTTATATTTAATTAAAAAAATAAAATTAAGATTTAAAAAAAAAAAAAAAATGTGTCTGAGCGTGTCCGAGCGTTGACCGCGTGTCCGAAATAGTTGACTGCGTGTCAGAAAAACGTGTCGGAACGTGTCCGAGAGTTGACAGCGTGTCCCCAAATGTTGACTGCGTGTCCGAGCGTGTCCGTGTCGGACACGTGTCCGACACGTAAATTTTCAACAAAACAATGTGTTCGTGCTATTGAGATCCTATTCTTATCCTATTTTGCAGATAACTCAGAGAGATAAAAATGGTATGAAGACATGAAAGCCAAACTTGGATAAGAAAATGGTCAAAGTTGGAGCCGAAGTCAGACACGAGATGTTAGAGTTTTGGTTAATTAATTGTGCTTACGTTCATAATTGGGAACCCAATGTCTATAAGGCCCAAAGTCATTGTTTCTGTTTTGTTTTGTTTTATTTTGGATTAGGATTTATACAGCCTGAAGCCCAGTTTGTTAGGGGTTAAAAGGAGAGATTAGGAAACCTTGTTTTCAGTTTTCGTTTCAATTTTACGTTTTACAGTTTGGAGAATAATAAAGTTTTGTGCTCTCTCTCTTATGTTCTTTATTTTATTTTACATTTTCTACTTAGCCTTGTTAGTCTAAACGTTCTTAAATTAACCCAATGATTGAGGACTCCATGGTTGAATCTTAAGGACTTGTGCCTCTTTTTGCATTGAATTCATTTTTCTTCCCCTTTAACTCGGATTGGACATCACATTATCGTGGGTGTTGAATCCGAGATCTGCGATTGCACTATAGGGAAGAGATGAAATGTTAGATTTAATGTTTAGGTTGATTAACCCAATGATCTTAAGTTGAACGGGTTGATACTCCATGATTGCACGAGTAGACATGCCATATTCGATTAAGTGCTAGGCGATCGTCTAGAGAGGGTTCCTAAACAAATGCAGGGATTCCAATTCGTTAGGATCAACCACGAATTTGATAATTACTTTTCCAATGATGGATATTTTAGGAATCCTAATTCTTCGGTTGGTTGTTTTTAAATTAATATTTTCATTTTTAAATCTTGTTTTTACTTTTCGTTTCCAATCACATTGAAAATCTCCTTTTTTCTGCTTTAATTGAGCGATTTAGTCCCCTTGCAAATTCCTTGAAAGAGACGATTTAGGTTGTTCTTTATATTACAAATCGTTATTTTTATAAACCTCATTAATTTGAGTGAGCTTGACGGCTCACGTCATCTAGTCATGCCTTTCGTCAACAGATCTATAAAATTTTCTCTTGACTTCTCTTCTGATTGTGTCCTGGCTATCATAGTGGATGCACACAATAGGCACTAGTTTTGGCCAACTCGAAATATCCCAAAGAAAATCACGAAGTTATTTAGCTTCTTCATTGGCTTTATTCAAAGCAATAAATTATGCTTCTATAGTTGATCTACTGATACACATTTTCTTGGATGATTTCCAAGAAACTAAACTCTCACCAAGTGTGAACACATATCCACTTGTGAATTTAGTATCATTCGAGTCAGTTATCTAATTTGCATCATTGTATCCTTCCAATACTGCATGATATTTCATGTAATGCAAAGCATAATTCTCAGAATGCTTCGAGTAACCCAGAACCCTTATTATTGCATTCCAACGATACTCATTTGGGTTGCTTATACAACGACTTAACATACTTACAACATGTATTATGTCTGGTTTAGTGCAGTTCATGAGATACATCAAATTGCTAAGTATACAAGCATACTCCTGTCTAAAAAAAGTATACCAGTATTTTTAGCCAAATGCAAATTGACATATATTGAAGTCCTTTGAATTTCTCAAGAATCTTTATGATATAATGTGACTAATTAATATAATGCTAACCCTTCAAATATTTTATGGATTTTAATCCCTACAATCACATATGTGATACCCATTTATTTTAGTCAAATTTATTGTTAATCATTTGTTTGGTAGCTTTTACCATATTTATATCGCTATCCATAATCAACACATCGTTTACATAAAGACACACAATGACATATCCCTTATAGTGGTTCTTCACATAAACACATTTATGGCATTCATTAATGCTAAAAACCTTCGATATCATGACTTGATCGAATTTAGCATGTTTTGGATCTTGTTTAGATTTCATCAAACAATATACTTTCCTTTCTTGTCCTTGAACAACAAACCCTTCATGTCGTTCTATATAAATCTTTGATTCTTCTTCTATAAACCGGTCTTGTTTATCCATGTCATGTAAAGACATGGGCCACTGAGAGCTCATACCATATATTTAGTAATATTATTATTGTTTTCATTTTAAATATGGTTATATTTATTTAATTAGGTTGTAGATTATCTAAAAATTGCTTCAATGTTTTTTTGTTAGAAAACTTGTCAAACTTTATTCTTAGTCTTTTTATTTCTGAAAAAATGAAGTTTAATTTATGATTAAAAAACTCTAAATAATTTTTACCCAAAAAAAATCCAAATAATCAAAAACATATATCATATATAAAATAAGAAAAATACTTTTATTATTCTCAAAGGAAACACATATTTTGTTTTTTTAGTTATATTGTAAAGAGGAGCATTATTCATACAACTTCTTTTCGTTTACCATTGATTTCCGTCAATTCAATGATTCTGATTTATTAGATTATATTTATTAATTAATTATTAATTCTAATAAATTATGATTGTTGGATTGACAAAAATCAATATAAAAAAATAAGTTGTAAGAAGTTATGAAATTTTTAAGTTATAAAAATAATGCTCCTATATTGTAAATAAGATATATTCATTGACGACTCATCAACGGATTTGTCACCCCATTCATAAAGCATACAAAGAGTTAAAATTGGCACGGGAATTCTATTGCGAAATGTAGCATTTGGAAAAATAAAAAATATAAAAATGATTTGTTAGAGTAAGTGATTTTTTTTATACTATTTCATCAAATTCGTTGAAAGATTTTGTTAATTGATGTGCATAAACTTAATTCATGATAAAAATAATATAAAAAGTGAGAATAAAAGCTTAAATACGTTTGAGTTTGTTTGCCGACTAACAATGAAAATTTAAAGATAAGATTGTATATTTGAGTAAAACTTTTAAAGATTTCTTCTAATATAATTTTTCAATTTTAAGATCATAAACTTATACAGTAAAATGAACTTTCAATTCAATCTAAAAATAAAATGATAAAATATTCAATATTTATTTAATTTAAATGAAACGGAAAATTAATTTCGAATATATTTATCGTCCATATTAATTTGATGATGAAAAACATATTTTTATGTCTCTTAATGTACAAATTATATTAAAATAATAATAAAAAATCTGTTTGTTTATTTTGTATACTCATATCATAACTGTTAATCTGCGATATACTCTCACAAACACCGTAAGAACAGAAGAAAGCCCATCAACAATTTGGGGGCCCATTTTGAATTGAAATTAAACAAGTATTGTTATAAAAAGTCAACATTTAATGACTTTTTAAAAAAAAGTCAACATTTTAAAAATAAATAAAAATTAAAAATAACAAGGGAGAGGTTATAGTTACTACTTTTTTTTTTTACTACCAAATTTTAAATGTTGATTTCTGTCAATCTAACAGTTATAATTTATTAGAATTAATAATTAATTAATAAACATGACCCAATAAATTATAACCGTTAGATTGAAGGAAATCAACGATTAAGATTTGGTAATAACAAGTAGTAAAAAAAAAAAATACTAAGTATAACCTTTTAAAAAAACAATTATATATTAAAAAAAACAACAACAACAACTCTATTGTTATGGGGAAATTAACTGTTAACCCTGGTTCCTTTACTGGGCCCAGTAAATTTAAACAATCGAATGACGTGGGCCACAGCCCATATGGATATTTGACCTTTAAACTAGGGTTTCGCAATCCCACCTATATAAGCCTCACCCTTACGTATGCAACGGTGCGGTGCAGCCCCCTCTGCCCTCCGTACCCAAACCGAAAATCTGAAAAAAACAAAAAATCAAAAAACAAAATTTTTTCAGTTCCGCCGTCGCTCTTACCTACTCCGCCACTTCCATTCGGATCTCCGGCGAGTCTATCCCTAGTTTATTCACACGCGCACAGAAGCAAAATCCGAAAACAAAAAAAATCTCCGAGTTACCTTTGTGAGAAGTGGTTAGGTTTTGGTTTATCAGAGGCGGTGATGGCGCAGATTCAGGTGCAGCACCAGAGTCCCGTGTCGGCTCCTCAAAACGGCGTCGCTCCTGCTCCGAACGCGAACCAGTTCGTGACGACGTCGTTGTACGTCGGCGATCTTGATCAGAATGTGAACGAGTCGCAACTCTACGATCTGTTCGACCAGGTCGGTCAAGTCATGACGGTTCGTGTTTGCAGGGACTTGAGCACGCGTCGATCCCTCGGTTACGGTTATGTTAATTACAGTAACGCTCAGGATGGTTAGTCTTTTTTCTCTTTCTCTCTTTTCGTGTTTCTTTACTAAACCTCCATGCATGCATTTTCTGGTGAAGATTTTGGTTAATTGGTTAGTTCTAACTTGTTTCTATGTTGTGTCTTCAGCGTCAAGAGCACTGGATGTGCTAAATTTCACTCCACTGAACAACAAGCCTATTAGGGTCATGTATTCTCATCGAGATCCTAGTATTCGGAAGAGTGGTACTGCTAATATTTTTATCAAGGTGCCCATCCTTATCTCTCACGTTTAAAAATAGATTAAATAAGCAATTTAATTAATGTAACTATAGTTTTCGAAGAACCAAATTTTTATAAATTCAAGGACTTGTAGATAGTAAGTAAACTCAGGGATTAAAATGATGGAGAATAATTCCGATGACTAAGTTGCCTGTTTACTCAATTTTTGTGGGTTATGTTTGGGAAATAAGGTCTTTGTTGTTTGTTATTTCAATTGACTTGTTAAATCTCATAAATTTTCTAATGATGTTGGTGGTGCAGAATTTGGATAAGGCAATTGATCACAAAGCTTTACATGAAACTTTTTCTTCTTTTGGACATATTCTTTCTTGCAAAATAGCAACTGATGGCTCTAGCCAGTCGAAAGGATATGGTTTTGTTCAATTTGACAATGAAGAATCTGCACAGAATGCCATTGACAAGTTAAATGGCATGCTGATCAATGATAAACAAGTCTACGTAGGTCCTTTCCTACGAAAGCAAGATAGAGATAATGCTCTCAGTAAGACAAAATTCAACAATGTCTATGTGAAAAACCTATCGGATTCATTGACCGATGAGGACTTGAAGAAATTTTTTGGAGAATATGGGTCCATTACTAGTGCTGTAGTAATGCGAGATGGAGATGGTAAATCAAAGTGCTTTGGATTTGTTAATTTTGAAAATCCAGATGATGCTGCTAAAGCTGTTGAGGCACTTAACGGAAAGAAGTTTGATGACAAGGAGTGGTATGTTGGAAAAGCCCAGAAAAAATCTGAACGTGAGCTTGAACTGAAAGGACGATTTGAACAGACTGTAAAAGAAGCTGTTGATAAATATCAAGGTGTTAACCTGTATCTGAAGAACTTGGATGATAACATCAGTGATGAAAAACTTAAAGAAATGTTCTCCGACTTTGGTACAATAACTTCATGCAAGGTGTGCGAATATGATATTTTTGCTGGTATCTGTAATAGTCAAATCTTCATTTTCTTGGAATCTAAAACTGAGTACTGCATTTCTTTTCATCTATTCAACAGATTATGCGAGACCCACATGGAATCAGTAGAGGCTCAGGATTTGTTGCCTTTTCAACTTCTGAGGAAGCATCTCGAGCTGTAAGCAAAAAACTGTTTGTGGCTATTATATCATTATTTGTTTAACGAGGAACTATATTGTTCTTAAGTATATCTTTTGGTACTTGTAGCTCGGAGAGATGAATGGTAAAATGATTGCTGGCAAACCTCTGTATGTTGCACTTGCACAGAGAAAAGAAGAGAGAAGAGCAAGGTTACAGGTAATACTGTTGTAACAGTGGGTCAGCAGTTTCTTTAATGTTGTTCTATTCTTTCTATTTCAGCAGCCTCACTTTAACTGTTTTTAGATTGAGTTTATTTTGTTTTGTAATGTACTAGCTTGATTGAGAATAAACACACCTCTGATGTACAACTTGGAAAAACAAATAAAAAAAAAAGCTTATTATCTCTGGAGATATGTATATGTATCTGATTTATAAATAATTTTTGCATGTATCCTTTGAAGCTGTGTTCTGATTTTTATTAAATATCATAATTTTGTGGAATAAGCAAATCTATGGTCTGTATTTTCTTAAAGTTCGAAATATGTAAAAGGTCGAGATGGTCCTACAAAGTGTAGAGGTAGACTGAAGAAAATCTTAGGAGGAACCGTAGAAAGTGATCAAGTGGATTTAGTGAAAAAATGTTATATGGCACAATGGTGTCATTTGATTTATGTAGCCAACCATACCCTCATAGTGGGGATATAATCTGAAGGCTTGGTGGTTGTTAAATGATTTCATAATATGTAAAATTTTCCTCGATCTATTCAGTGCCACATCATTTTAACTCTTTCCTTCTTACAGTTATATGTTCTAGTGTGATGATTGGCGGAGTTATTGTAGGCTGGGAAATAATAAATGTAAATGAAAAGGGGTCTTAACTTATTCTTGCATTTATGTGCAGTTGTTAATTTCTCACCATAATTACTGATTTCACGCAGGCCCAATTTTCACAAATGAGGCCCGTTGCAATTGCGCCTTCTGTTGCACCCCGTATGCCACTCTACCCTCCCGGTGCTCCCGGTATGGGACAACAATTTTTGTATGGGCAAGGACCTCCAGCCATGATTCCTCCTCAAGTAATTACTAACAAATTATTTGCATATTCAACTTTTATTTTTTGTGATATCATGCATTAGAAAATGTGTTTTATATATAAAGAGGAAAAATGTCATGGTCAATTTTTACTCCATCTTGTCAATTATTCATATTTCAGTTGGGTCTTAACCTTGTTGTGCTTTTAAGGCCTACATGTTGATATGATGCTTCAGCAAAGTTGTAATCAGTTTGTATTCTATTTTATTCCTGCTGCATCTGTTAAATGTGTGCATTGTGCTGGTATTCGTAACAATCTTCATCGCTTGGACATTATATTTTCACATTTTAGGCTTGCTTGTTCATTTAATCAATTTAGATTCAGAAAAAATATTAATCATCACTGCCATAATAAATACAGGCTGGATTTGGTTACCAGCAGCAACTTGTTCCTGGGATGAGACCTGGTGGTGCTCCAATGCAAAGCTTCTTTGTTCCAATGGTTCAGCAGGGCCAACAAGGCCAACGTCCAGGTGGACGTCGAGGAGCAGGTCCTTTACAACAACCCCAGCAACCTATGCCATTGATGCAGCAGCAGGTATGCTCATGCACAACATCTCTGATATTTTTTTTTTCTCATCTTTGCTGTTCTGTATGACTTATGCTAAGATACTTTTTATTTGTTTTTCAGATGCTCCCAAGGGGACGTGTCTACCGTTACCCTCCTGTTCGCAGCATGCAAGATGTTCAACTGCCTGGAGTAGCTGGAGGAATGATGTCAGTCCCTTATGACATGGGTGGTCTGCCAATCCGGGATGCTGTGGGACAGCCAATGCCCATTCAGGCTTTGGCTACAGCCCTTGCAAATGCTCCTCTTGAGCAACAGAGGACTGTAAGTCCCGTTTCCTTCTGTTGTTTTAGCACATTTGGGTTGAGTACTCAATTGTTTTATGTGCACTATAATGGTTATGTCCTCATACTGATTCTTTGTCATGAATTGTTTGCTAGATGCTTGGAGAAGCTTTATATCCGCTAGTAGATCAGCTGGAACATGATGCAGCAGCTAAGGTTACAGGCATGCTTTTGGAGATGGACCAGCCTGAAGTATTGCATCTGATTGAGTCACCAGATGCTCTCAAGGCAAAAGTTGCTGAAGCCATGGATGTGTTGAGAAATGTTGCTCAACAGCAAGCCAACAGCCCAGCTGATCAACTAGCCTCACTCTCTCTCAATGACAATCTTGTGTCTTAGATCCTGTTAAGCCTGTTGGCAAGAATCCCCACCCCTCCCCTTTTGGCGTTTATTTCATGGTCTCTTCTCTTAGATATTTCCTTGGCGTTTATTTCATGGTCTCTTCTCTTAGATATTTATGCTGTCAGTTAGTACTAAGCTTGTTATGTGTTTTTGTGTTTCTGGCTTGCTGTAGGATTAGTAACTCTTGTTGGATTGATTAACTTGTGGATTTACTGTTTTATTTCCTTTTCGGTACTACTAGATTCTTTGTTTGATTGCTGGAGTATGTTTGACGTGGGCAAGTTTTTTATTCCTTATTAACTAAGTGCTGGTTAAAATTTTGAGTAAATCCTTATTTTTGTTCTCCAAATATTCAAGCAGTTTTTTATAAATTTAGTCTTTAATCACTTTTATGTGTAATAAATGCTTTATTTTCATTGAATGCTTTACTTTTGTTTTCTTAATCAATGTAGCAAATGTCATAATCTAATGTCTCGATCAATACCCATCATTACCTACTAGAGTTTTGAACCCGTGTACGTTGAGCACTGTTTATTCCAGTATATAAGGTATAACCATCACCTATACTCCAATTCCACAACTATATTTTCAATACATCAGAAAAATCGAACTGAATTAAATCTCATAACTATAATATTCGACAACTGCTTTTAGGGTCTTTTATGTCCAAATCAACTTCAAGTGTCTTCAGCGAAGTTGTAGATCTTTTATAAGTTTTCCGAAACATTGAAGAATATAAAATTTCATGATTTGTAGACCACGATTTGAGCAATAATTTCATGTCCAATTTAAGCTACTCTAATATCAGAGTTTAACTTTGACTTCATAAGAATTTAGGCCAGAGTCTTAACTTTCCAAAATATTAGAAAATGACAAAATCTGATGTTTGTAGCTTAAGGTATGACTGAAACTCCAAAATTGAGTCATATTCCGTGATAGTACCGATGCAATACTTTCATTTTCAATTTAAGGTCCTTTAAAGATATAATAAGGTCTCGAAATCTTCATGAAAGTTGTATGCAATCTTCTCATATTTTCAGCGAGCCAAAGAACATCCAAATCCATGGTGGAAAACTCAAGTTATAACCAAAATACTAAGACTATAGATTTCTGAGATAGACTAAGGATTTCACTATCAATTTCCGAGATAGACTATATTCATATAACAATTGAAGCGAATGGAGTAGCTAATTTCACTTGCTCTAGTGAGACTAAGAAGAGATTGTGCAATTCTTGGAAACCAGCCCTAATTGTCAAATTATTAAGGAAGAATGTGGGTCTAACATTCGTGAAGAAAATGATAGAGACAATATGGGAGCATACGGGAAAGTCCAAAGTCACTCATATCGACAATGATTTTTAAGTCGTTAAATTTGCGACAAAGAAAGATCTAAACACAGTGATCAACGCGTGACCCTTAAATTTGATAATGGGAACCACAGTTTGTGCTCTATAATTTGATATCCCAAAAATTGCGGCTTGGTTTCAACTACTTGAAATTCCAATAGGAGTGTTTTGAAAATGATTAGTGATGGATTGGCTTGGATGCCTAATCAAAATAGAAAAAAATTACCTGTGGTCATGAAAATGGTAAGTTTGAACAAATATGCGTAGGATTAGACCTGTCAAAACCCAAGATGGATGGATAAGTATCGACTGGAATGAGATGCTATGAAGGTAGAATATGAAGGCTTGTATTCCATTTGTTGTAAGTTTGGGTGTTATGGTCATAATAAGAAGACATGCATAGTGAATTGCGAGACCCGGATACCACAACAACCTGAAGGCACAAGGGGAGAAATGAGCTGTTCCCAAGGAAATAATGGCCGATAGAGACCATGGATGTTAGTTAATAAACCTCGCCAAAATAAAATGGAAACACAACAAGTGGAGGCAAGGATCAAAGATAACAAAAAATTATAGTGATAAGTCGTCATCATCATCATATATATGCAATTCCCAACATTAATAAAAGAGGTCCATGTTAGTTCTTATTCCTAAAGTGCATAAACTAGAAATGATAAGTCAATTACACCCAAATTCTGTATGTAGCACTTAATATAAATGCTTGAGCAAGATCATAGTGAACTGTTTGAAGCCTCTTATAGATAAGCTTTTTTCCGAATCAAGTTAGTTTACGGCCTAGCAGACAGATTTAGGATAACATCATAGTTGCTTAGAAGTTAACTCACTCCATGCATCATAGGCGGAGGAATACGGAGCTCTGTCGAAAATCGACAATCACATAAATCGAAAAACAAAAGAGAAAGGGAATAGAGATTTGACACAGTGATTTACCCTAGTTTATCCAATATAAGCTATGTCTAACTTGTTTGTATTATATTCACTTTACCGCCACTCGTTACAAGTCACTTGGTTTGCAAAGAAATATAAATCAGATTTAAAAGACTCTAATAGCAGCTATTCATGACCCAAGCTCAAACTACTAAGAAAAATAAAATTACAATAAGTCAGAGGCCCGTAAGAGTTACTTTTCTACTGACTTCGCCAACAAGAACCATTATCAGCATGCGAAGTATGAACTATAGCCAACAAGCTCCATGTCCCAAATTTCAGCTATCTAAGTTATCCTTCTCGGGTTATCGTTATGTATATATGTAATATACGATCTTTCCATGGAATGGATGAGAAGGACACCCAAGCTATTGGAACTAGGCAGGTAGAGACCATATGGACCCCTTGGGTGAGGGTTGGCTGAAGCTCAAGATAGACGAAGCCTACTCGCAAAATGATAGAAAGGCTGGTTGTAATGGTTTGGTTTGTGATAATTGTGTTCTAATGTTATTAGTTGAATTGTTCATAAAATTGGCAATTACTCCTTTGAAGATGCTAAGGTTTGGGTAATCATAAGGGTATGGAGTACTACTAGTTCTTAGGGGCTAAACAATTGAGTGTGGAAATTGATAACTTATCTACCATTACTCAACTCAAATATTCGACCCAAAAGATTGGTTGTGCAAATATTGGAGGTCGGACTTAACCATATATACAGGGAAGGTAATTCGTGTCACATTGGTCTACCCAATATGCCTTGTCATGGGAGGATGGATTTAGGCTCTATTGTAACACTCAGAGCCTGTTTGGATCCTCTTGTTTTTAAGCTAGAAGTTACTTATAAGCTAAAGCTAAAAAAAAAGAACTTAAAAAAAGAAGCTAAAAGCTGTTTGGAAATTACATGAAAATTTTAGCTTAAAATTTACTTAAAAGCACATATTTCAAGAAAATTATCTCTCTCTTAATCTTTATCACTCTTTATTTAAAAAAAAGCACACAATTCAAGAAAAACAGATAAGAGCTTAAAAAAAAGCTCCTCCTAGGAGCTTTTAATTTTCAGCTTTTTTCTTCATTATAGAAAAAAGAGCTTTTCATTATAAGAGTTTTTCTCAAAACCTGTTTGGCCTAACTTATGCTTATAACTAGCTTCTAGCTTAAAAAAGAGAGGATCCAAACAGGCACTCAATTTGGTTAGGACTAGGTTCTAATAACTGACTGCGGTGTCACAAATAGTTTCAGAAGTATAATTTATGTTACAATATAGGAAAAAATATTTTTCCATTTAAAGGATATAGAGTTATATCATTTTAAGTGAGAGAAAGATATGATTTAGAAATTTTTTATTTTAAATTTTAAAAAAAATTACCCACTTTTTCTCCCATGATTTTTATTGTTTGTGTCTTTCTCTAACTTAAAATGACATAATTTTATGTCATTTGAAAAGATAAACACTAAACCCTCTAATATAATTTTGGTTTTTCTTTTTTCTTCCTTTGACTCTTGCCCTCGTCATGTCTGAAGATTTTTTTTTTTAACAAATGTGTATATGAAAAAAGAAAGATAAAGTAATATTAGATATTGTAGATAAAAAAAAAATTAAAATTTCAAGTTTATTAATTAATATAAATATATATAAGCTATTTTGACTTTTTAAAGTGGTTTTTACTATTCCAAATAACTTATAAATTCAGTTATAAAATTTAACACAATTAAAAACAAGATAGATTTGTGATCAGTGTTATAAAAATTGGATCGATCCAGCCGGATCAACTCGAAAACTGGTGAACCGGTCATATAACCGGTCCGGTTTGTATATTGGACTAGCCATGTTACAGAACCGGTGTGACCCGTTGCGACCGACCAGTTTTCGTAAATATCGGTTACTCGGTCGGTTCAACCGGTGATCCGGCCCGGTCTATAAAAAAAAACTAATTTATTTTCATCAATTGATATCTTGTTTTTTAACTTTTAAACACACATGATTTAATTTCTTTTAAAATATTTGAGTGATTTGTAGCTTATTAACTTACATAGATTATGTACCTACAACATTAATATTATCTTGATTATGCAATATGTAGGGAATTTTGATTTAATTTTATAGTTAGAGATGTCGTTTACTAAACCTGAAACACTAGTATCACAAATATTATATATTTGATTGATCTTTTGTTGGACAGAGATGTATAATTTATTATTTTCATGTTAAAATATTTGAAATTAGTATTATTTTTTTACAAGTATTTAAGTATATTTATAGTTTTTAAAATATAAATTATAGATTTATATATACTTACCGGGTCATGCGGTTGAACCAGTGACCCAATAACCTAGTACCTCGACTGGGTCAATAACTGGTCCGAATTTAATAACATCGTGTGTGATTCATTATTATTATAATCAATCTCTCGGGGTAGGCTCAAGTGACAATATGAGTCTTAGAATGGATGAACTAATAGATATCTCATATCCCTTTTCTTACATGGGTTATGAGAATGTTAAAGACTTGAGTCACCAAAAGAATAATTAAGTTTATAAAAATATATACTATTACAATAATCAGACCATTTTTATAAATTCAGTTATAAAATTTAACACAATTAATAACAAGATAGATGTGTGATTCATTATTAGAATAATCAATCAATGAGGGTAGGCTCAACTGACAAGATAAGTCTTAAAACGAATGAACTAATAGATATCTCATATCCTTTTTTATACATGGACCGTGAGATTACTAAAGACATAAGTCACCGAGGAAATAATTAAGGTCATAAAATAAAATAAAAAATAATATTAGAATAATCAGACAATTTTTAAATATTTCATTTAACATTAAACTTGTATAAAAATGATCTTTAGTTTCAAAGATCATCCAATAAAATACTCTCTTCAAAAATATCTCATACTTGAATCTTGAAAGAGGAATTTTTTAATGTGCTCCAAGAGCATTAATACATTTGATGGTTCTTTACCAAAAAAGAAATTTTTTCTACTATTTATATCCTTTTCTTTCTTTTAAGTTCCCTTCAAAAAAAAAATTTCTTTCTACTTTTAAAAAAGAAGCACAAACTCTCGGCTCATAATAAATGAGCTGGTGAAAGAGCTTACTATTATTAAAATGCGCTTATGTCATAAAGGTTTGTGGAAGCTATAGACACGCACCGCGGTAAGAGAGGAAAATGGCAATATGTGATGTCTCAACCCATCGTATAATCGACACGTGTTTTGAAAAGGCTCGGCTTTGACAGTATGCTCCGCAGCCACACGCCGCACGATGGTTCCACCTGCCATCATCCACTGATCGCACACAATTAACACTTAACAGGCCCCAATATCCCAAACATTATGTTGTTGTCACACACAGCCAATTAAGACACGCCAAGTCCCTCACTCACAGTCACAGTCATCGGCGGGAGTGCGAGAAGCTTGCTGAGCACGATTCTCACAATTACAAAACCACACTCTCACACTCTCATTCTCCTCTGTTTCCTAAATCCCCAAAAAAAAAAAAAAACCCTAACCCAATGGAAGACGAAGAACCTCACTCTCACTCTCACTCTCAGTCTCAGTCTCAGCGTGCTTCGCTCCCACCCGGTTGCCGGTTCTACCCTTCGGAAGAGCTTCTCCTCCGCTACTATCTAACCAACAAGAACGCGAACCGTGATGGGGATTTCTACGGTTCTGATTTGATCACTGAACTGGACCTATACAATCACGACCCCTTCGAATTGCCCGACGCTTCCTGCTTTTCGTACGGTTATCGAGGGAGTAAGAGGCATTGGTACTGTTATACGGTTAGGGTTGTGAAGGACGCGAGGCGCGTGAGAATGAAAGTGAAGACCGGGTTCTGGCTCAGAAAAGGAAGGGTTAGGGATGTTTTCGGAAACGGTGGAAACGTTCTCTTAGGCACCAGAACCCGCTTCGTTTTCTACGTTGGCAATTCTCCAAAGAACGCTACCAGAACGGATCGAATATTGTACGAGTACGCCTTGGTTGACCATCTTCTGGTATGGAATTGGTCAACACTCACACTTGCCACTGTTCAATTTTTATTTGATTTGGCTTGATTATGAAATAATACTGAAATGTTTCTTGTGTTGTAAATGTGTTTCCTCATAGCTTTTATTGCATATGCAGGGTTCTTTTGTCCTTTGCCGTGTATTTGTTAAGGAGGCTCATCATAATAAGAATAGTCCATCAGAGATTGGTCTGAGTTGTTGTGCAGAAGAAAGTGTCTCAGCGGTGCGTCATGTTGGTGTTCAGTATGATGGATATGCCAGAGCTGATGTTGTTGAAGGTAGAGTTTGTGATGATAGCTCCGTTGACAGAAAGAATGGATGTGCTAGTGAACAAGATGATCGTCAAGTTTTGACCGAACCTGTTTCGGTTGCTCCTTTCCAATGTTCTGCAGCAGGTCCTCAGGGCTGTCAGCAGGTAAAAAATAAAAAAATAAAAAATCAACTTTGATCTTGCTCTGTCATCTTAGTGAGTGAATATATATTGTTGCTTGTTTTATATTTCTCTTTTGTTCTCGTGCTGCATCTGCATTTGACGGATTTTTGACCGATACAATGCAAAAAAACAAACATGTTACGAGTTTAATTCTTTTGACAAATTATTTACCTATCTAATTTGAATGTGACGTGCATGGGAAGTATGCCTGTTTAAGTCGCGTATTACTTTCATTTGCGATTTGTGCAAAAGTTAGCGCAATACAAGACTCACATTCTAGCAATGTGCGTTCAATGCCCCCATGCGCGTCTTGCCGAGGGTGACATGTGGTAGACGTGTTTTGGCTTTTGCACAAGTTGGGCATGGGGTGATGCGTGACTTGAACGTGCACATTCCCTATGCATATTTCACATTTGACTTAGTACCGGGAAGATTTAGATTTTGTGGTTAAAGGCTTAAAGCCAGATAGTTCCATTGCAATTATTTGGATTATTTTTTGTTTTGCATCTGTCAATTGCAAACCTCTGCATCAGCAATAATTTGAAAAGTTTAGCCAGGATTAGGGCTATCAATATTGGGAGTCAGTCAATTAAATGTTGTATTTTCTTTGCAACCACATTTTTTGAATTTGGAAAATTTTACAACTCGTTCACGTGATGGTCTTTCTTAGATTGCATGCGTTTTTTACTAGTGATATTAACTCTTCTGAATGGGGAATTACACATTTACTGGTTACTAGAAATCTTTACATGTACCAATTGAATAGTTAACATTGTCATTCCATCCAGATTGCTTAAAAACATGTCCTTTTTATTTTGTGCTTAAGCATGTTCTTCCCCGTGCACCTTTTCATTTCAATTTATGGGGCACAAGAGAAAGTATTGCTAAAGCATTAAATTCTTTTGTTTGTTTTTTATGGTATTCAGGAAAGGCTTTCTGGACTTCCTGGCGGTAGTGCATTGTTCATTGAAGCTGTAACATCTCGGCAACTTTTACTTTCCATTCTAGAGGAGGATTTCATAGAATTGAATGATCTTGCATGAATTGGTTCTGAGATATGTGAATGCTAATCCTGTTCTCAGGAGTATTTATCACCTGAAACAATTGTATTCAGATTGGGTTAATTACCCAGCTAAAGAGAAGAAAGATTTACGATATTGAGTAACCTTTTAACACACGAATGAAGAAACATACTGCCAGATGGGGTTGAGGCAAATGTCATGGAATGATCACTTCGCATGTTAAGGTAGTTACTATAGATCTTTGTACGTTACACTCTTGAGACCTACTTGGGGAAATATTCAGCAGATCTTCTTTGTTTTGGGCATGCAGATTTTTCTCCTGTGCCTAATGAAAAGGCAATTGGCTCCGGAGGAATAAAGTTAGTTAGATATTGGCGTTTGGTAATTGCAATATGCAATTTACCTAAGTATGGGTAATTTCAACTTTCTTCTTCACGCTGTCATTGTTCCCTTGACAGTATATTTCAACTTTAATAGCATTCCTGGGACTGTTGGAATTTCCCATTTGCCCCTTAGTGGTAAGGCATATTCCTTACCGTGTCTTCGTCCTTTTTCCTATCTTGTTCAAGAGGCAGATCATATAAATTCCAAATTATGGATCTCTGTAAGTGTGAAATATGATGATAACTTATGAATTACCTTAACTTTCTATGTATTACTTCTTTGGTTACGCTGACTGATTTTATTTTCTTCATGGTATTAGGTATTGTTATATTCAGTAATCTGGATTCATGCAAAAAAATATTATTTACTATGCCATATCTGGTGGGCGGTGGCTTTAGACATTTGAGTTTTTCTCGTTTAACAATGAGGCTTATGTCTTCGCGTGTGGCTGTCGCACTATTTGTATCAAATTATGTTTTTGTGATAGCTTTCATCATTTGGTTTGAATGGGGTTGGAAATTGTTTTACTTGCTCAGAGACATCTGAATTGATTTAAATTCCAATTGATTTCCATCTGCTACTGAAAAGTTCTGAAAACTATTTACCAATACATAATGTATCTATTGGAGTCATGTTTTCCGCGGTGTTAACGAGTTACGACAAAACCATAATGTCTGAAAACTGTACAGCTTGTCTCTTGTGCTTTGAAGTGTTCAGTTATTGGACTAACATTTGGAAGTATGGCACGTATTTGTTTTGTGATGTGTGCTGTATGCTTTAACTTAAAGTCGCATTGAGAGCTTTTAGAAAAGTCATGGTTCCTGAGATCCGTTTGTTCGTAAAATGCTTCCGTAAAGATGTCATAATTTTGGTAATACGTTGGACGCTTGAGATATTTTGCGGCGGCTATTCTTTCCTTTACACAAAGCGTGTAGCGTTGCGTGTAGTATTTGGCACCACCTATGTTTAAGAAATATTTTTTGTTGGCTGGCTATACTGAACCAAGAAAATATCATTGCTTGAACGGATTGATCAGCTTATTTTTGTGAATAATACCTTTGTTTAGCTTGACCCGTCATGCCAGACGAGTGAAGCGTTTTAGTATTTTACTTGTGTAGGAGAGTTGAAATGCGAGGTTGCGATGCCTTATCTTTTGTTCTACTTAAAGACCACTATGCTAAAGTTGCTCGTGGGTCCATTTCACAGTTAGGATGACGGGTTATGTTGAATTTCACCCTTCTCCCAACCTCCACTTGGTAACAAATGAGCAGTACAAGAACCCATGTTTTCTAGCACGAATTAATTTGATAGTTGCAGGAGTTTCAAGCAGCAGGAAAGGCTTATAGTTTACTTGACATCTCTAGTTATATTCAATTCAAATGCTCTTGTTGCTTGAGGAGTGACTTTAGTTGACCAAAGATATCTCAAGTTTGAGTTGTATCCTATTGTTTCTTCCAAGAAAGCCAACAAATCAGTGTGTTTGCCTCGTATTTTCAGGTACTATACCATTCCCGTAATTTAGTGTTAGCTGGCCGCCTAACTTTTTTGGGAGTTTGTCCTTATGTCATTTTGGTAATTTGGTGTTTCCTCTTTCAAACGTTGTGTAGAGATATTTATATCTTTAATATTGGAGGATTATATTTATAAACTTTTTGTTTACAAATTCTTACAAATTATACTATGTTCTTCCAGGAGAACATTATGGTTACATTATGTTCTCCTGGAAGTACATAATGTAATTTGCAAAAATTTGTAAAAAAAGTTTGTAAACGGATCATTTCCCCTTTAATATATTTTTATAGGAGAGGTTATATTTATTATTTTTTTCTTATTATCTCTTATTATTAAATCTTAATCATTGATTTTCGTCAATCTAACAGTTATAATTTATTGAGAATTAATAAATGTGATTCAATAAATTATAACCTTTAAATTGACGGAATTTAACAGTTTAAATTTAATAGTAAGAAGTAATAAGAAAAAAATGTAGTAAGTATAACTTCAATAATCTTATAGTTATCAATAATAAGCCGTGATAGTTTACAAATGGATTTAGAGCCCGTTTGGATGAGCTTTTTTTCCTTTAAAATTGCTTTTTTTAAGAAAAAAAGCACTTCTCATTCTTAGTTCGTTTGGATGTCTGCTTTTAAAAAAAACAGAAGTTACAAAAAAAGCCAAAAACTTACTTTTTCCAGAAGCTAAAAATTTTAACTTCCAAGAAAAGCAGAAGTCAAAAGCCAAATATTTGTTTTCAAAAACTAAATATTTTTATAAAAATATAAATAGCTTTAACTTTTATAAAAAATACTTCTAAAATAAGGAAGAGATAAAAATTACTTTTTTTATAAACCCAAACAAACGGGCTCTTAAGGTGGCGTTCAAACTATGCCCGATTACTGACTGACCGCAAGAAAAAAACGAGGGATAATTAGTTCTTCTATGCATTTTGAAAGTGTGTGAATAATTTACAATATTTGTGAAAACTAAGTGATATTGGAGCCACCACTCTAAAATCTTGAGCAAGAAATTTTTATAAATAGATAAAACAGTATTGTATTAAAAAAGTCTCTTAAAAGTAACAGTTTTTTTTTTTTGGTCAAAAAATTTGGAGAGGCAACAGTCCCCCGTGGGGCAATTAATTGAAAGACGTGAGAATAAAAAATTTTCTGGCTAAGACCATTAAGAGTATTTTTACTTAGGGTTTTAGTTATGTCAAGCAACAAAAAAATTAAGTTCTTTCCTGCTCTTACATGGATAAACGAGCTGCACTCTTTTTTTCTGTTTTTTTCTCTTTTCTGGTGGGTCTCGCTTTAAATGAGTGTGCAGGAATAAAAGTTTGTTTTCCTGTTACTTGATACTAATGAATCCCTTTTACTTAAACATATATAAGTACAACAAATATAAAAGGTTATTTCAACTCGAAAAACAAAGAGAGAAATATATCTTGTCGCATCAAAATTAGGGGTTATTTCAACTCGAGAAACAAAGAGAGAAATATATCTTGTCACATCAAAATTAGGGGTAATAATTCAGGTTGACACGATACGACACGAATTTGACAAGAACACAGATATAGTCAACAAGAACATGATATAAATTTGAAAACGGGTCAAAACTATCGATACAAACACGTCCTATCTATTTTGCGGGTTGACACGACACAACATGAATAATTTGCAATCTTAAAGTGAGTCACCTATTATTGAATTGACACAATACGATATGACATGAATAATCTACCAACCTCAATGTATGACACGACATAATAAGACAAGAATAATATGTATATTGAATATTATTTTTACTAATGTCGTGTTGACACGATATGATACAAATAATTTGTAAGAAAATTAATGCAGGTCAAATTTGTGTTTGCAAGTTGATGCATAACACGACATTAATTTTTTCGTATCAATTTTTATCAACATGAACACGATATGAATTTGAAAACAAATTCACTTGAACACAAATTGTTTATGTTGTATTCATGTAGTATCAACTAGTAATGTTGAAAATTGACACCCTTAATCAAAATTTACAACTATTTTTGTCATTAACATTTGTTAGCAACCATATTATAACTTTTTGATTATATATAGCAAAACTGCTATGCTGCATATATAGAAAAAGTTTTCCACTTATGACACAAACATTACATTTTCCTTTCTTTCTTTCACCTTTTCCCGCTAACATCAATAATTAATATTTCTTTTGTAAGGGTATGTGAGAAAATGTTTATGTACCACAAACATTTTTCATAACAAAAAGGTATAATTTGATTTTTTTTGCCATATATATAGTAATATAGAGTTATTTAAATATGAACCCTATTTTTTAAGAATAAATCACATTAATATTTTATAAATTTCTCTTATTTTTGAAGTCTTCACAGATTACGATTCAATATTTCAACGACACCAAAAATTAGTTTAGATGAGCTTCGAATGATTTTAATTAATATAATTAAAAATGACAATAAGAATGTGTATAATTTAATAAAAAATGTGGTCGAAATTATACACTATGATATAGTAGGTAAAATGGTATGGTTATAAAAGTTTTCTTATGCTCTGTGTTAATCATATTATGTTATGATATATGTTTGTGTATATTAGTTTAAAATGATATATATTAGTATAATATAATGTTAATTTATTTTTCACATTTCCTTTTTTATATAATAGTGAAAAGGAAATTAAAATTTATGAACTCGTACAACCAAGCAAGCACCGACACTTCAAAAACCCTGACGTGTCGTGTCCGACACTTTTCGACACTCTCTGACACTCCCCGACACTCCAACATGTGTTATAGAAATTCAAAAAAAATTCAAAGGTTGCACTGCGTTGAGTTTTTAGTTCCAATTATTAAATTCGTTGGATTACAATTACAATTTTATTGAGTTTAATATAATATATTATATTTCTTTGCAAAATTGATGAATATTATAAGTTTAGTTTCATTTTTTTGTTAAATTATTGAATATTAAATATAATATACACTACATAAATTAAAAATATTATTTAATATCAAAACGTGTCCTAACGTGTCAAAATCTAACATTTTTTATAATTAATGTGTCGGAGTGTTGTGTCGTATCGTGTCTCGTGTCCCGTGTCGGTATCGGTGCTACATAACGTACAACTACTAATCATAAGTGATTATTTATGATGTTTTCCCTAATTCATAGTATTTATGTAAGGGAAAAATGTTTGTTCTCTTGAAGAATGGTCATTTTACTTAAAACTAGTGTTTATTATTTAAATTTTAAATATAAAAAAACACTCATTTTCTCTTCCATGATTTTTATTATGTATCTCTTTCTCTTATTTAAAAAGACACAATTATATATTCTTTAAAGGGAAAAACTACTCTTATGTTACATGTGATAAATTTCTCTCCTACACATCCTTTGATAACTGTGCCACCTTTTTCTTTTCATTTCTTTTTATTTTTCAGGTGGTGGAGCCCACAAGTTTATCTCTATGAGATGAGATAACTTATCTCCTTTAACATGAGATTGATAAAACCCTTCTTTAAAAGGGTAAACATCAAACCTCTTATGCAAACAAGTGTAAAAGGAAATAAGGTATTCTTAGGTAGTGTTTGGTTGGGGAAAAATTTTTTAATACTAGAAAAATGTAAATACTAGGGATCTGCAGGGAAAGTGGGTTAGATAGGAAAGTTTTAAAAAAGTTGTTTGGTTGCGCAAAATTTTACCAAGAAAATTGAATTAAATTTCTGAAGGTGTGTTTGGTTGAAGATAAAATATTGATGGAAAAACTTAATGAAATTACAAAACTATCCTTG